ATATAGGACGGTCTCTCCTGTTAGTGAGTAGTACTTTGCAACAAATACACAAATCACATCCAGACGCATATCATACAAGTAGAATATTGGATGAAGAGATTGCTAAATCTAAAGACTTTAAAAGTTATACAAGTAATGATAGTTTGTTGAATAATCTTGATTTTAACTCTTTTCTTTAAATGTTAACAAAGGTGAATAAAAATTTTATTATTAATTAATTGGAAATTACTATTACTAATAATATTAATAATTGGATATTACTATCTGTTAATTATTACTAACTAATTAATCAATAAACATTAAATTCTAGTAACAATAGTAAAAGAAGAGAATCAATGAATGACTAATTTAATCTCCACTAAATTCAATTAGAGCAATAAAGGATAATCTTTATTTATTATTGTTTAATAAAACAGTTGAAAAAATGATAAAATAAAATTTTTGATACAGAACACAATGAAAAAGGACACTTGAATCAGAAAAATATGAGGTATAAAAAATAGGAATAGATTTAATCTAAAAATGGAAATTTGTTAATACATCTTTTGGTATTTTTGTTCACCTATTGCAATCTTCAATATCTGTAAATTGACATTTTTTTCATTCATCCATTATGACATCTGCACGTTTTGTACCAATCCCTGTTATTGCTGTCAGAACAGTGTAAACTGCTTTATTTATATTTGGTGGATTTTGTTGGGAATAAATAAAGGCACACCCAGAAAAAGGGCCAAAATATGAATTCCACACTTCACAATTGCTGACCTTGGTGGAAGTGATGTGATATCACATTTTCCAGTTGTGAACAAGATAAACACATCTGTCTCAGGTTCAGCTGCCTTATTATATTCTTCCATAAACAATTGTTCATTGATTGCTGCAGATGCTTTAATGAATTTACACTGATAACTCTCAACACTGAAATTTTGCAAATTAGCAATGTAAATGGGACAAAAGCAATTTCCATAAGGCACCTTAAGTTTATTAATGATACAATGGGATGCTTCTGCCAATTGTACATTAACCTTTTCACATTGCACTGTCCTTGTACCACTACTTGATTTTGTACTGGTCCATACTGTAGCTTTCTCTAGTATTAAGGCTTTGTTTATAATCTTTATGTCACCAAAATTATGCCATGCTCCACTATGAAGTTCCTTTAAGTCAACGTGTTGATTAGGATCAAAAACCTATGATTTTAAAACTCGAATCCTTCCAATAAACTCTTCAAAATGCTGCCAGTATTGACATCCAGGAGGTACTGATAAATCTTCATTGTGTTGAACTTCTTGGTAGTATTTAAAATTCCAGCTCTGTAATGTGGGGTCCTCAGATGCATTTGATAAAAGCCAAAGCCATATGTATGGACAGGTTAGACGTCCCCAATCTTTCATTTTCAAACTTAATTAGACCCAGTTTTGAAAAGTCTTCTGGTTTTAAGTTAGTCCCTGGAATAACTTTATTTGCTTCTACTATAACTTGTGTTAGAATTATACGAAGAATTGGCTTCAAATAAGATGTTTGGCTAATCCATTCATTGTAAAAATCTGATAATTTTGCATAAACACCTTCCATTATGGTTAGAAAGCTAACTTTTTCTAAATCTTTATCATTAAGAGCTTCATCTAGTGCTTCTAATGCCCGACCATGACCTCCCATATCACTAACAAGCATGTCAATAAGATTATTGTTAACAAAAACAGGCATTCATTGTCTTTTTGGTGGTGATAAAGATGGTATTGGTAAAAACACTCGCTTTTGATGTGAAGCACTCACAAAAACATGAAAAGGTCTGCTAAGTGTTGCTGTGGAACATCCTATCACAAATGGTCCTGATGCAGCAAAGTTATTCAAAACTGTCATACATGAATAGAATAGTGATGATTTATTTACTCCATTATCTTCCTGGTGAATTGCTGCTTGCATCCCATCAATCACAATAATGATGGTCAAATCCTTAGGTTGGACATTTTGATGTTTAGCAATCTTTGACACTACTTCATCTGGTGATACATCTGGATATTTTCGAAGTGCTTCCATCCAGCCACCTTTATGTTTTTCTAGCTGAAAAAGCATTCGTTTTGCAATGGCAGTTACAGCATTACATTCTTCTAATAGGTCTATTTTAGTGCCATTTTCAAAAGAGATGTTAAATACTAATGCATTTTCAAATCGTTTTTTCAGTTCTTCATGGGAAGCAAACTCTTCATGCAATATATTTGGTAACTCATTTGCATTCCTAGATTTTCCTTCTCCTGCACCAGCAATCATAAAAAATAGTGGTGTGGTGCTTTTATCCAGTTGCTGTTTTGTGTAATTTTTGTAGTATTCAGTTATGGTTGTTCTTAACAGTTCCCTCAATTCATTTGATTTTTGATAATCCCAAGAATATCCACTTGTTCTAAAAAGTGGTTCTGGTAGCAGGTATTCCAACTCATCTAATGGCAAAACTTACAATAAATTTGATGATAAATAAAGCAAAATATTCATTGGAATATTCAAGCGCAAATAATCCAAGAGCATAAGTTAATTACAAACTAATCAGCAGCAACATAAATAACAGTATATAAATGCTTACCTTCATTGACTAAATTGGCGAAGAATCCAAAAAGAATCAAAATCGAAATATTGAAGGAAAAAACCACAAGTCATAAACAGTATACAAATAAATAAATAAACAAAATGGAATTAACGAAAAATAAATTTTTTTTTTACACAATTTGTTCATTACCTTTTTCTTTATCCTTTTCAATCGACACATATCTCTCCAAAAAAATTTGTCTTCTTCTAACTTCCCCTCCTCGAGTAATTTTACTTCAACTTCCCATTTATTTTTTTCTTTATAATCACCCCATTCTTCTCCCGCTAGCTTTATCTTCAACTCACTCAATCTTGCCAGTTTTCCTTCCACTTCCAATTTCCTTGTGCAAAGTTTAATTTATTTTCAAAAGTCATCATTTGTAAAGATTCATAAAAATGAATTTTTAAAAAAAATTTTTTTTTTTATTGATTTAGAATCGCAAAAAAAGTCTTCGTGTTTAATAAAATACCGAAGCCCAATAAAAGAAAAAGACTAATTCATAATGCACGTGCAGTCAAAAAAATGAAAACTAATTCCCCAGAATCTTTACTCCTTGTAGAATCTCCCGTAAGATTATTTATTTTATTAAGCATTTTCTTCAAAAGGAAAAGATTTTCGAAGGAAAAATTTTATAATAAAATCGCATAACTTTGAATTCTTATAAATCCTTAATCTACTAATGATTTTTAAAACAACTCCCTGTAGGATATTTTTTGAACCACAGAGAAAAAAATCTATGGAAATTTTTTCACTCTAACTTGTTTGGTTATTGAGTCTATACGTTTCAAAGCTTAACAGTATTTTTAACATTTTGGATGATTTTACTAATAAAATTAAAAAAACTCTGTCAGGATATTCTTTGAATCACAGAGAAAAAAACTATGGAAATTTTTTTACTCTAACTTATTTGGTTATTGAGCCTATGCGTTTCAAAGTTTAACAGTATTTTTTAACATTTTGGATGATTTTACTAATAAAATTAAAAAAAACTCTCTGTCACCATGTGGATCATTACATTTGTTATAATATCACTTAATTTTATAGTTGTATCTTTTTTTTTTTGAATGAGAAGATGCAATTTTTATTTTATAATTGTTTATTAGTAAATTTTATATATGATGTTAATTAGTTTTGATCTACATTAGTCCATCGTACCACCCAATACCACACACGTGTGTGTTTGTCAATCAAATAAAGATTTCTTTCTTTTTAAGATGCCAAGAGACAATAAAAACAAAACCAAAAAAAGAAGAAAACAAGGCGACACTGAAAACATATATGGATAAGTGTTTATCATTAAATGGTGGTTGTTATTGCCACTACTCATCATTCTAGTTTCTATATAAGATTGGTGATAGTGATTTAATTCACAACTCATTAGTTAATAAATTGAAATTTGGCCTTGCATTACCTAGGGTACAATTATCTACAACTTCTAATGCAAAAAAAAAACAAAAAAAAAGAAGATAAAGAGAATGTTAGTTCTGTCCTTGATAACCTTGAAAAAGAATTAGAAGATGGGCCATTAAATGAAGTATGTATTAAATCAAACTCTGATTATCATTTTCTTTGTTTTCATTTTACCATTAAGTTGATTATACTTTTCAGTGGATTATAGAAGAAATAAACATTATAAAAAGTTTCAAAGTTTTCAAAACCATTCAATTCAAAAAGCAAGGGAATCTAAATTAAGCCAAAATGATGTTTATGAAAAATTGTATTTTGACAGAAGAGAGAGATTATTTTATATATGTATAATTTGCTATCTATTTTTTGTGATGTTTTTCTCACTTGATTTATCTTTGTAATTGTATTTAGAACACTAGCATCAATAATGGTAATCCATATCCCGAATTTACATCTAACGAATGGAAAAAAATACTAGATTCAAATTAACACAAAATTAGTTATGCATTACCAAGTGATATTTCAACAGCTTTAAATGCAGCTGCCCTTAAAACAGTATTTGATGATAATATTTTTATGACTGAAAATGATAATGAGTTAAGCACTATTAGTTGTAATGTCTTCAATGGATTGTGAGTTAAAATATGATTTACTTTTTATCATCATTCTGGAAAGAAAGTTAAAATGCAAAATCAATAATTAATTTGTTTGATATATTTTGGATGTAACTTGCCTGTTGAATCTGCAAAATCAACTGAAGATTTGCACAGCTTCATGCTTTTACATCCAATAATAAGACCTATCTTTGTTCCACCAGAAGATTATAGCATAGTGCTTAACAAATCAACATATGAAACAAGGAAAGACCTGATTTTACATTCTTAGTTGATGAAATTGCTGTGTTAAATACTGAAATCAAACCCGTTGGACATACATCACTCCAAAAGAACAAGGATATAGTAAAAGCACACACTAACGCCAAAAGATCAATAAACAATCTATTAAAGAAAAAAGGAGGACCTTCAAAAGCTATTGTTCTTCTTAATATGGGTAATTATATAATAAACTGCTGTCATTTTTATTCATGTTTTTGAATGTGGACATTATTTGTATAAACTAGGGAACATTGTTGAATCTTATGTCATGGAGTTAAACTGTTACAAGATATACTGTTCATGGCTTCTATGCCTTTAATTGAATCAAATATTACCCATTTTCTGGCACTCAAAGTATATATCATTTTTTACCATAATTTTTTATTTTCTAAAGCTTATGGTAAAATATCTTTTCCCTTTAACATAGGAGCAACTAATTGATATTTGCACAGATTTTAAACAAAGAAGTAAACAGTTCATGCCACCCTTCCAGATATCAGAAAATTCTAACTAAAAAGGTTATCAGAATAAGCAAGTAGTTTTTTATTTAATTATTAGTGTTTAGATGTTCCAATACTTGGGGGAAGATTATAGCTAGAACACTTATTTTTATATTTGAATAAATACCAAGGGTGGTGATTTATTTGGGGAATTAATCACACAGAATATGGTGCACCTTTGATATTTTTTAAGAAATAAAGTCGCATCAAGAAGAGATGCTAATATATATATTATTATAATTATATAATGAGGTAAAGGTGACAATCTTTATATCAATTTATAGATTTATATATATATTTTATTATTAAGTGGCAAGGCTCAGATGAATAGTGGCAGATAAACTGATTTTTATTGTGGAATATTTAAAAAACCACATTTTGCACACTGTGTTCTTTTTGCAAAATTATGATAGCCGCACATATCATTACCACATAACCAATCTCCAGGTTTCATATTAACTATTGATGCAATGTTATTTATAGCATTAGGTGGTTTAGGTAAACTACAACGAATACACTGAAAACGTGATGCAAAGTTGTGTGAGTTGCAAGATGGACAATACCAATCGCCTGGTCTAAAAGGTATACTTGATGATGCAGATGATGGTGATGGTGATAATGATAATAATGACCCATGACCCATAACATTAGTTGTACCATATAAACCACCTCCCTGTTGTTGTTCTATTATTGATGACGTTAAATTCCCATATGTATCATAACCTGAATGATTTGATGTTCCACATCTCATGCATTGAGTTCTTGATGCAAAATTCTGAAAAATACAATTTGGATTTGGGCAAATCCAATCGCCTGGTCTAAAAGATATACCTGACGATGTGGATGATGTTGACGATGTTATTGATAATGGTGGTGTTGATGTAGACGATTGTCCATAATTACCATTACCACTAGGTTTATAGGTTCCACATCTTAAACATTGAGTGCGTGATGCATAGTTATGAAAACTGCATGGTAAATTTGGACACATCCAATCGCCTTGTGTAAAATTATGTGGTACTTGTTGCACCACGGGAAGAGGATTCGGATTGATGGTATTGCACTTGAAACATGTTCTCCTTGAAGAAAAATTATGAAATTGACATATTGAACATATCCAATCACCTGGACGAACATGATTTTTTATCATCTATTATAAATTAATTTTAAAACGAATTAATGTATTAATTTGAGACATTAACAATATTCGATAATATTTAATATATACCTGAAACGGTGATAACATTGATCCAGCAGCTTCGATTATTCTTTCGCTACTTGGACTAACTTCTATAACTCGATCACCTAACGTTCTACCATTCATATCCAAACAAGCCATAGAATCTTCATGAGTAGCGAAAATTGCAAACCCAATTCCACTTGATTTTTGATTATCAGGTGGTTTAATCATCGACAATGTTGTAGGTCTTACACCTTGACCCGAAAACCATGCTTCTAATTCAGGTTGTGTAACATCGTGTGGTAAGCCTGCTAAATGGATTACTTTAGACTGTTCTTTTTTAAACTGATTCAAGTCTGCACTTGTATCTATTGGATTAACGAAAACATCATGATGACCAAAAGAACAAAAATATCTGACAACGTTGACCATGGTTAAAACATCATTCAATCCTGATTCATGAATTTCCACTATTATTAAATCAAAAGTTGAACTCATTTCTTGCAATGAAAGAGTTTTTAGCGTCATATCTGGATGATGAACGTGCCATCTTTGATATTCTTGCTTTAAATCAAACATTCTACAATGTGTTAAATAACTTGACAGTTCGATTTCTTTATCTTTTGCTTCTCTTGGTAATTGGATCCTTAAATCCCAAGCTCCATGTGTACAAAAACAAAAGGTTTTATTTTCAGCAAGTATTTTGTTCTGAATATAATCGTCTAACGCATCAATTGCATCCTTTAAATTTCCAGCGAATTCAAGTTGATCCCAAGTTATGTTTGTAAGAGTGGTGCAAAAGGTTGTTAATAGAGTAACTTTAGGTTTTACATATTGTGAATGTTGGTATACCTGTCAATAAAAAATCATTAACATTAATTATATTATTGATTTATTAATTGTAATTAATTAATTAATAAATAATAAATAAATAAATAAATAAAATAAATAATGTACGAACCACTTCAAAATTTTTTGTATCTACTATTGCCCATGCAAATTCAATAATTTCTGCCGTTTCCTAGTTTTTATTTTTATTATTTTATTTAATAATAAGAACCAACAACGAGTTGCAAGCCAGGTAATATAATTTCATTAAAATTTTTAGATAACTTCAAAAAAAAAAAAACAAAATTTTTAAAAAAAAAAATCAGGAAATGGCTCAAGAACACGTATAAGAGAACCCGAAGCCACCCATAAAAAGATAATAATTCTATCGATTATATGATTAATGTGTATGTGTGTGCGTGTAAATAAAATTAATCAACTCAACCTTACAAAAACTTTTACGTTGTGACTGTGAGGCCTTCGTTACTTGTATAGTAGATTGTGATATTTCTTCAGAGATCGTAGCTTCAAGATTAATAATTATAAGGTAATCAATACCAGGACAATGAGTATTTTCAGTTGAAGACGACATTTTGATTTTTTTATAATTGTAATGTTTTTTCCAAAAAAATGAAATTAATAATAGATTTTGGTGCCGATCACGTGTGGACAAAAGTTATTGAGGATTTTTTATTGGATAAAATGCAGATCAAAAATTGATATATAAGAGTATTCAATAACACGAACCACTTCAAAATTTTTTGTATCTACTATTGCCCATGCAAATTCAATAATTTCTGCCGTTTCCTAGTTTTTATTTTTATTATTTTATTTAATAATAAGAACCAACAACGAGTTGCAAGCCAGGTAATATAATTTCATTAAAATTTTTAGATAACTTCAAAAAAAAAAAAACAAAATTTTTAAAAAAAAAAATCAGGAAATGGCTCAAGAACACGTATAAGAGAACCCGAAGCCACCCATAAAAAGATAATAATTCTATCGATTATATGATTAATGTGTATGTGTGTGCGTGTAAATAAAATTAATCAACTCAACCTTACAAAAACTTTTACGTTGTGACTGTGAGGCCTTCGTTACTTGTATAGTAGATTGTGATATTTCTTCAGAGATCGTAGCTTCAAGATTAATAATTATAAGGTAATCAATACCAGGACAATGAGTATTTTCAGTTGAAGACGACATTTTGATTTTTTTATAATTGTAATGTTTTTTCCAAAAAAATGAAATTAATAATAGATTTTGGTGCCGATCACGTGTGGACAAAAGTTATTGAGGATTTTTTATTGGATAAAATGCAGATCAAAAATTGATATATAAGAGTATTCAATAACATATACTTATTTTTTAAAATTCCAAGGTTTTTTTTTTATTAGATACTATTTTCATAATATTTATTGATGATGATTTGATGGGTTTACTATTTTTATTAACTAAAAAAATTTAAGAAGTTCGGGAGCTATTTTTGTATATTAATTTTGTCCAATGAAAAATCTTCATATATTATCATCATAGTCTATTTGTAACACCCCAATAATTATAATATAAGTTTTATATTATTTATGAACTTTATTTAATTGCATCGGAGCTCTCTACGGTGCAGATCATCTATAATCAATTAATTGCTTATGGTAACAATTAGTCAGTTTCAAAATACTAAAACAAAAAATTTTTATATCATTTTAAAAAAGTTAACCAATAAGTTTTATTGTTCATGACTCAAGCTTCAAAACTTATTTAGCCTTAACATTTTGAAAATCCAAAATTTGTTATGAAATTGAGACTAAGTAAATTCTGTGTAACAATTGTTTTCATATATTTCTTTTTTTTTTCTTTACAAAAAAAAATATTCAGGGATGGGGACGGTTTATGTCACGTGATATGACGAATAATTGATCCGTGACGATTAATATACTAATTTACAGGTGACAGTTATATTGCCAAAACAAGACAAATTAATTGTCACCTGTAATTTAGTATATTAATCGTCACGGATCAATCATAAAAATATTATTCGTCGCCTCACGTGACATAAGCCGTCCCCATCCCTAAACAAACAACAGGAGAGACTGTTCTGGGAACACAAAATTAACAGGAGAGAACACAAAATTTTAACCCATGCCATTTATTGATTGACAAATTAAAATCGCGAATTTGATAAACGTAGAAATAAATATGGGTCTGATTCATTTTGTCAACAATTGCTTCACCAACAATTGTTTCATTAACGAATTTAAGAAGTTGGAAGCAACCATTGAAATAGTCTAATAGATTAAATTGTACTACTTGTAAATGTATTTAAAGGGTTGGTTTTTGACTTGGTTGAAGAATAATTCTCTTCCTAACTCTTCTCTTGACCATATCTCTCAATATAATCAAAATAACCTTAATATAATGAATGTCAATGAAATGATTGTAAACACAACAAATTTAAGATACATGATTGAGACGAAAAATGACCAATGTATGAAAAATCAAACAAATCTATTTAATAAAAACAAATTTACAACCCAAAAAAATGTTTTTTTTGCATGTTCTAATAAAATTTACATCGTTGTTACATCATTTGTTCCTGATTCGACATTACCCGAATCATCATCAACTGTATATTCGTTATTTTTGATAAATTTAATATTTTCATCATACTTTCTTTTAGTGTGTTGACTTTTTTTTGATTTCGACTTGATGATAGTCCAAGATATCAACATTTAGATTGACACCTTTGTAGACAATGATTGTGATAACATGAGTATGCTACAATTATTCAAATTAGTATAATTAGTGTAATCACAATATATGTAATTGCAAAAAAAGTTTTCTTAGAAATAACAAAGTTTTAGTAATTAAAGGATACTGATTTTGTGCTTGATATACTGATAGCATCAGATTGTCTCTGGACATGAATCTATGATAATCGTCAACATTCAACAAGAATGTATTTCTTGAATATATTCTCTACATATTTCTCATGTTCATCTGCAACTTGCTTCTTTTTTTTACGATCTACTGCTCTTGATGTTGTATTTGCTCCAAGACTTGTATCTACCGAGTCTAAATAGAATGCAAGGTCAAACTTAAAAAGAGTTAATTTTTGTATTATTTAATAAAACAAGAAGATAACACATGAACACCGCCATTAATCTCTTCATATGGTCCATTATTTGCTCATTATGTTCAAATGGCCAAGCTACTAAATAGAGTTGGTCAAAAAGCTTGGTTCTATTTCTTGGAGCAATCTTCAAAATCAATCTTTTCACTTACCTCTTCCTCTTCCCCTTCCGCATCTGTGGTTTTTACTCTCCTAGGTTCTCTTTTTAAAAGATTTTCTACAAAATTCATATATATAACAAATGTTACATAAAACAACACGTTACTTTCACTAAGTTGTTGTTCTCAGCTACTTTACATTTATTGCCTTTCAGTGGTTTTACATTCTGTGCAACGTTTAATTTCAGGCAAATTTTCCTTGAGTAAATCGTGTTATGAAAGTTGTGGGATTCAAAGGGATTCAAAAGATATGATAACAACTAAGTGTAAAACTTCAAGTTTGTGTAATTATTTTTTACACATGATTTATTGCAAGAATGGGCTACATGCTACCCTTGTAAAAGTATTTTAAACTGTATAAAAAAAATTGAAAATCAATTGTGAAAATCCATTCCTTATATAGGACGGTCTCTCCTGTTAGTGAGTAGTACTTTGCAACAAATATACAAATCACACCCAGACGCATATCATACAAGTAGAATATTGGATGAAGAGATTGCTAAATCTAAAGACTTTAAAAGTTATACAAGTAATGATAGTTTGTTGAATAATCTTGATTTTAACTCTTTTCTTTAAATGTTAACAAAGGTGAATAAAAATTTTATTATTAATTAATTGGAAATTACTATTACTAATAATATTAATAATTGGATATTACTATCTGTTAATTATTACTAACTAATTAATCAATAAACATTAAATTCTAGTAACAATAGTAAAAGAAGAGAATCAATGAATGACTAATTTAATCTCCACTATAAATTTATTCATTATCTTTTTATTTATCTTTTTATTTTATCCTTATTTTGTTTTTTTAAAGCTAAATTATAATAATTTTTTGAAATAATAATTCTTTTGAATCTTAAATTATAGTATCATTTTGGTTGATTAACAATTATGGCTTAACTTTTGGTTACTCTTGCAAATAATTTGGTACTTATCAATTAATCAGTTTACAAATTTAATTTAGTTTCCTCTCTCTTGAACCTGGACGAGTCTGTGAGCACACACTCAATGGCACCAGATAATTATAAATAAATAAAGATGCCCTTTTATAAAGCTCAAGGGCTTCTATAAAGTTCCTTTTATTCACTGTGATTGATTTATTCGCTTACATTTATTGACCCATTTGGTTTACTTGCAAAAAAAGCTTAATTCGTAATCCGTGAAACAACTGCAAAAATTTGCCAATCATTAATATGTTTTTGTGGTGATAATAAAAACATTATAATTTTCAAGAGTTTTGAGAATCTGACATCACCTCACGTGACCAACATGAGTCAAGAAAATTACATGACCACGATAATTTTTATTTTATTTTAAAAAAGAGTAACTATTAAAAACTAAATAGAAATGACATATTTATATTTTTCTTGGATAAAATTAATTCTATAACCATTTTTACATCATAAATATTTTTAGTTGCTTACTCAAACCTTTAAATTTTATATAGTAATTTTAGGCAGGAATCCAGCGATTCCTACATATAAACATAAAATATTTTATAAGAAAGTCCCTTTGAAAATTTGTATATTTAAACTTCGAGATTCATATCATGTGTTAAAAGTACAATTTTAGTTTATATCAACATAAAGGAGTTGGAGTCCAGAAAATTTTAATTAGCGACCTGCAAAATTTTGCAGATGTTTCACGGATCACAATTACAATAATACTACCAGTATTTCTGATTAACATACACTAGTTATCCAACTTTATTCTTAACGATGCATTGTGTTAAATTGATTAACTACAAAATTACATGCAATATGTAGTAATACGCAATAACAATAATATTAATAATATGCTTGAGCTGTCTTTAGTGTCTGAATTTGAAGCAAATATAAGTTGGTTAATATTGGTACTTAGAACGACCTTTACATACCACATAAGACAGGTTTTGGTACATAATTTTGTGAGTTTTAATTTTGTTTTCTATTTTTATCGCTTTTAAATTTTCAAAGCATTTGTTTTATTGTTGAATCACGATAAATCGATCACTAAAGTTTGGTGATGGTGAAACTGTTCTTTAAATAATTAAATAATGCAATTTTCAATTCAAAAAAATGTTGTACAAAAAAATTGTTTGTTACACGTCCGCAAAGAAAAAGGAAATAATATAACTGTCATTCTCAAAATCTCCCCACATTCATTAAAACAACAAGTCGAAGTTTATATTTTATATTTTTATATAATGTCATATTACAGTTTGTTATCACCAGAAAGGGCGGAGTTTGTATTTAAAATTCACAATGAAATGCGTAATAATGCTAATGTTAATTCTGGTGGTAGTAATGACTATTTTTTTTCATTAGTTGAAAAAAACAAGGAGCTTTCTGAAAATGAAAAAGAATTTTGTAAAGAACAATTTATTTATTGGCATGAATTAAATAGTGCAACATATAAAGTAGGTGAACCAAAAGAATGTAACAAGTGTAAATTGACAAAATACTCTGATAGATTCTGTGAAGGTTGTATCAGTTTACATTTACAGAGTCTTTTCATCACTTGGACATCTGGAAATAGCATAATTGACAACTTTATTCAACAATGTCAAATGAAATCATCTCTGCCAACATATATTATAGAATGGATACCTTTTGAACAATTTAAAAAAGTAACAAAGTTGACAGAAGGTGGATTTAGTTCAATTTATAAAGCTACATGGACAAGAGGATATATAAATGATTATGATGAGAATAAAAAGGAATTTACTTATATAGGAGCACAATATGT